AAATATGCAGTTATTAAGAGTCATCTTTCCCCCATGCAGATTATGTTAGTGTTGAAATTATAATTGACCTAATTGTGACCTGTGGTATTTCTTTGACATTTAAGGTGCCATAGTCTGAGAGGCCTAATGTCTGCAAAACCACTCAACCCTGATTTAAGTATAGTACTCATTAAAACTCAAATGCTCTCTTTAATTATTCATTGAAATATTTTTGATCTGTAATAAAAAAAGGGTTTTATAAATCTTTGAACTTTAAAAATATAATCGAAAAACAATAGCGGTGAAATAAATGTTGAACTGTGCTTTATCTTTCACTTCTTTTGCATTGAGCTGCTGCAGTGGGTCGCCACAATCTAAAAATATGAACACCTTATAAATTGTATTTTTTTTATAAGAGCACCTATAGATATTTCATTCATAATTTTAAATACCAACTTTTTGTATATTTAGGGGAATGAAGATAAAAATTATCAGAAAAAAAGGAAATTAAATGAATGAGATGCTTTTATATCACTTCGAGAGACAATATTGAGTTTTCAAATGATACTGCCACCTGTGGCCAAAACACATAATTACAGCATTCCTTTGCTCCTACTTGACAAGTTTTTTTTGTTGTTGTTTTTTTTATTTTTTTATTTATTTATTTTTTACCTTACGTGGAGTGTCCGAATTGACCTTGATGCCAGTCACTTCTGAGTATCCACAAGATCCATCTTAAATATAATACTTCGTTTACTTGCTAGGTTGCATCCGTTTAACATAGAACAGCGCGGGAACTTCCAACCAAAAGTACATTCAGAGAAAAAACAAACACTACAGGCTTATTGATCCATCGGTGCTGAGCTACTGAGGTGTCAGCCTGCTCATCAGGCAATGTTTTACTGGTAAAGGGTCAAATAAAAACACTATTTTAAAGATACATATTTTCAGAAAAATCTTACAAAATGTCTCTTTAAACTTTTTTTTTACTGGTTTTAAAATTGAAAAGGAAAGCCATGTGTTTACCCTCTCATGCTTTCTTTCCCCAATTCTCTCCTGGTAAGTTATCCAAAGGCTGCCCTAACCTATGGTTTTAGTGAAAGGAGAGTTCAATAGTAAAATGACGTTGCATATTAAAAATGGGACAAAATACCCATATTTTTAAAATATAAAGGATTTTATATTTTTCTAAGAGCTCTAGTATATAATTTAAAGGGTAAATGACTTTAAAATTATGTCTACTGCTTGAGCTTGGTTTTCCATAGTTCTATTATAATGATCCAGCTGTTGATGGCAATTACAACTAAAATATAGCAGAAAGAAACATTAAAAAGTGTACAGGATAGATGTTTAATGCAATTTTTCACGTAAAGGTTTTACTTCGGGCAAACATTGTTAATGTTCATGCTGACTACAGTGATTCTGCTTCTTGTTGATTTTAAAAAGATTCTCCTCTAGCTTAACATCTGATGCCTTTACAAAGGGCCCAGCTTGCTGCAGGGCTCAGAGCATGTGCGCTCCATCCTTTATGTGCAAACTGAGACAAAAGGTCACCAGCTCTGGGTTGGAGGGCTATGAGCTACTGCTGCTTTGATCATGACACCTTAAACATCTACACACCCATTACATAGCATGATTATGTTACCCTTTATGTGTTTGCATAACAGACACATCCCTAACATCCCCAAACACAGCCCTAAGCTCCTGTATGATAGATCAAAGGTTTTAAACCTATTATCATATATCACATACAACATAAGAAAAAGATTTATTCTTATTCCTTCAACCACAGGATTAGAGATCTAAGCAGTTTTAGGGATAAAAGAAAATATAAAAAACAAACAGCTGAATTAATCTCATCAGAAATTAGCATAAAACATAATCTAAAATAACCAAAAATGAATAAATAATAATAAAAAAAAAGAACAAGTATTTCCCAACATATAAAAGCCTGTAAGTTTTTCTCCTAATATGATTCACATATATTTTTTATATATTTGATGATATACTGATAATATTACTGAAGCCTATTTAAATAAAATAAAATGTAATTAATAACAGCCCCTTGAAAAACGTCTTTTGAAATGCATTTTAAAATTCACTGGTGCATTTGAGACCACCCTCCTTCTGCAGGACCAAGTTTTTGCAGTCTCAGCAGTCAGACAGACAGTCTCATAATTACAAAATCTTTTTATTTACCCACAGACTCAAAGGTAAAAAAATAACCAGATTATTCACACATCACCACCATTAATATTCTAACTGAGGTCTTTAAATCAATATTTAACCCCGCCCCCCTTAAAAATGAAATATACTACAGTTCAGAAATAAGCTAGTTGTTATGCTTATGTTGTCTCAGACAAAAGCGTTACTTGTTAGTAATGGAGTGACTAAATGATGAAAAGAAAACCTGGAACAGAGTGTTTCTATAAGAGAGCTAATATTTGAGATGCCACATTCAGGCTTATATACTACGACAATTTTTTGTGGTATATATTGGACCAATTTCTGATATCAATACCAGATTGGTCACATCCCTAATCAAAATAGTGAATGAAAAAAAAAGGAAATTAATTTAAAAATGAATCAAAATGAATTCTCATGGTTTCTAGTCCTTATTGGATTTCTCCTTCATTGTTCACTTTAAAGACACAAACAGATTGCATGAAGACAAGACAAATCTCGTCGTTCAATTTAATTAAGGTGACTGCAACATAACTCAAGTTGGTAAGTCACAAGTGAAAACTCAGTGCCGCTGACTGCAGAGTAAACAGCCTGACTACTGTAATTAAGTCATATCAGTTATACAACCAGTTACTACAAAAGTAAAACAAATGTATTCTGCGCAATAATTATTCATTTTACAATTTTGCCAAGTTAAGAAATTTAATACAGGAATTTCGAGATCATTTTAGTATAAGTGCAGCTGCATTTCCTTTAGCATGAAAGCCGGCTCGAAGCTCATCCTCTTTACTGTCCCCTATGGAGTTAATTTACTGTTACATTTTCTAAAATACAAGGTATCCATGGATCACTGCTTCCATGTTCCTTTTATACATCTGCTTTTTTTCTTGTAAAATGCCAAGCCGACATATTATTTTAATTAAATTAATTTTATTTTATTTATAGCAGGAAAAGTCTCATTTAGATTAAAAGTCTATTTTACAAGGACCTACTGGCAAAGACAGGCCGGAGTTTAGTGACATTTCTACATCCTTGTTAATTAAGATTAAGGCTGCAAATAATGGTTATTCTACAAATTGATTAATCTGTTGATTATTTTTTTATTAATAATCTGATAGCCAAAGGTTACTTAAAGATTATTTTTCATTAAATAAAATCAGGTGAAACAAAAATGTTTCCACTTAAGGACTTCTGGGTAGAACGTATTGACAGAAGAAAAGATTTTTTATCTTAAAATCAAAATGTTTAGATTTTTTTTTTTTTTACAGTCCTGGTATAATTACTGCTCTAAGTGGGTTTCTCTATCAGCTAAAGGCATGTTTTAGAGTCTCTATACTCTAGTTAATGATTAATCGATTACCAAATTAGCGATGATTATTTCAATAATCGATTAATAACGATAAAATCGTCTTGTTTCAGTCCTAATTAAAAACATTTTATAAGAGTCCAAAGAGAACAGCTTACTCACTCACTTTTTACCTAAATGTTAAAACTGACAGTAAAAACTGTTATTCTTACCTTAAAAAAAAACTTCTCAGGTAGGGAATTAAATATATTAATTAGAAATGGAAAAGAATAGCAGAGATCCAAGGGACAAAACCCAAAAGCCTTAAAGCACTAGTTCATTTAGAATTTAAATAGATCATATATATTCTTTCCAGCATTGTGCAAAGCTGTAGTTTTTTGCAAACATTTCAAATGATAAAGATGAGTTATAAATTAAGACAGAAGATGAAGTTAAAGTTTGGAATCATTCTATAAGAACTCGGTATTCAATCGAAAGAGGAATAACAATCCTCTATGAGACAAAAAAAAAAATATGTCTGTCCACAATTTCACAAACACTGTGGGTAAAATAGTTCCTCCTAAGTAAAACTACTGATGGCAAAACTAACAAGGAATACAACATCTCAGTCATTGTAGTTTGGCTGCTTTGTGTCGGAAACCAGATCTAATTCTCACAACACCACCACAGCCAGGATATCCTGTCAAACGACCGTAACAGCAGCATGTAACAGCTCTAACGCACAGCCAGCAAACCTCTAGCAAAAGTCTCAGCCACCCAAAGTGACATAAAGCAGCTCCTGTTGAGCATGCACCAGGCTATATCCCTCCAACACATCTACACATAAGTCGAGAGAGAGAGAGAGAGAGAGAGAGAGAGAGAGAGAGAGAGAGAGAGAGAGAGAGAGAGAGAGAGAGAAACAGAACAAGATGCTGAACAAGGTACAAGCAAATCCTAAGTGCAGTGATGTGACTGAGGAAGAAAGCATACTGGGGTAAACAAGTGAGTCAGAATCAATTAGAGGTCCTTGGATGACGTTCCTGCAAAACCCAGTTAATCACAACATTGGAAGCTATATAAATTTTTTTTTAAAAAGCAGTAGAAAAAGCTAAGATAACTTGCCAAAAAAAGATAAATGCAAGGCAAAAAATTAGGCCCACAGGCAAGCATATGATCCATAAAGAGCATTTGTGGGGATCCTCATATGGCCTAGTAATTACTTCCCAAAAAAGTACCCCATTATGTTACAAACCACACTCAGGGTATATCCACCCCTTTAAATTATGATACTTTAACACTCAAACATCTAAATGATCCAGGTCTGGAACATAAAATGTTTCTTTGCTGAAAATAAACCCATCTCACAAATTAGATCATTCCAGAAAATGTTATAATAGACAATTAATGGTCAATAATATGGATCTACAATTAATATTGGTGCCCAATGATAAAAAATTATTGAAAAAAGAATATCAAACAACCACCACACCCTGAGGCCTACTGCATCCTGTGTTGCGTGAAGAAAACACATAGCTAAGACATGAAAACTCACCTCGTCAAACTTTACAGGGCAGCAGGTTTTCCTCAAAACTAACCTGCTCCTCGACGATGCAACCGTTTCGCGTCAAGAAACAAAGACAGGCCGCTCTCTTTAGGAAACTTCAGACTGATTAGGAGCTTTTAGCATCATAAGCCAAAGACGAGAGCTTCACAAAGCTTTGTGCAGCACCTCGGGTAGAGGAAAAGAGCAACCAGAAGGGTTCCGAGAGTCACAGAAGGAGGAAATAGGCGTTTGTAGTGAAAGAGGAAATAGGTTTGTTGGTGAAAAGGCGGCAAATTTTAAAGAAGTGACTTAAAAAGACGCTGACAGACTGAAAAGTTATACAAAATAAAGAGCCCCCCAAAAATAAATCATCATTATACTGGAAATTAAAGTCCAAAAGAAAATTCTTGTGAAATGAAATGAGCATGCAGGACTTTTTATCAAACACACATTTCTATTAAGATTGAATTCATGCATTCAATCAACACAGATCAACTCCACTTCTGTCCTTTCTGAAAATCACAGTCAGAGCATTTCAGATGGTCTTATTTTGTCACCATGACCACTTTTACTCTGAGCCAAAACTTAGAGCTCTTTCAGAGAGTACTATTAGACCCAGCTAAAAGGGAAACAGAAAAAAACAACAACAAAAAAAAAAACAGATGTTTACTCCACCCAAGGATGAGATCAGCTTTGGTCCCTGCAAGCCCCGAAAACGCAAACATTCAAGTTATTTGCTTCCAACTCACATTCCCATAGAGAACCTTTAATTTTTCTTCCACTACAGCAACAGCAGAGAAAACAAACAAGCCAGAGGAAGAAATGTATATCTCCACTAAGGTTTTAAAGTCAAGTGAGAAAATATGAGAACGCAAACAGGACGCAATGAGAGTGAAGCTGTAGTGTACTCAGTAATTTACACAAAAGCAAACTTCAATATTATCAGAAAATACACTAATTGGATCCAACTCATTGATATACTGTACAGCAGAATAAAGTTTTAAAGCCCCCTATAGCCGCACACCTCAACCCCCAGCATGGTTGGCAACCCCAACAAAGAGGAATAACCAAAACAAAATAACAAAACATATATTTTTATTTTGAATAAAATAAAAATCTTCCTTTTTTTAGCAGCAAGAAAATATGAGTCATGTTTTACATTTTTATATCACTTTTTGTGTAGATAACATCCAACCATTGGGTCTTTACACAAGGTTTGGTGAATATTGCATCAGGCCCACACCCACACAAACACGTTTATGAACCCCAGTGCAGATTATTAGTAAGATGGGTATTAAGTACCAACCCCATTCAAGAGTAGTGGGGGGTCAGGAAGCAAACTCACACCTCTCACCTTTGGGACAAATGAGTAAAAGCTCCCCCTTTGGCAATAAAGGATTTTGACTGTTGTAACGTTGCACCTTGGGTTGTGTTAACACCTCCCTTTGATGGGTGAGGGACATAAGAGTGACGTGTAAATGTCATAAAACAAAAACGGCCTCAACGTTTCTAAGAATAAATGCAAGCTACTCAGCCTTGTAGGTGTGCTGCGTAACTGAGCTTTGTTCATAACAGCTTATTATTTCAGTGTAAAATAGTGTCACAGCACAAGGACTGTTCATTAGTCATCCAGGCCTCAGTTCCACTGCCTGGTTTGTTGGTCACTGTTTACTACTGGAGGTTGAGTCAGGGTTTAGGGTTTTGTTTCCATTTCTTTTTTGTTGTTGTTTTTAAGTGTTGCTTTAAACTCATTGGTACATAAAAGTGAAAGGCTTTTGTTTCGGTGTTTTTTCCTCGTGGAATAGTGGTAATTTATTGGTAACTAATCATTTTGTACTTGTGCACAAGTGTTAGTTTCATACTCAGGTTTTTCAGCTGGAAAAAGAAATTGAAAATTTCATGTAATTTTCTCCAATCAATTCAAGGTCTAATATGAGGATATGAAACCAATAAATATCATCTGCAAAGAAAGAGGTCACTAGAAGCAATTCTAGATCGAACAGGATTTCTAATTTTATCAGAATCCACACAAACCGACAGCAGCTAAAAGTGTAATTAAAACTTTAGGAAAGTCAAACCGTTTGAAATGACATACAGAATATTAAGTTTAACAGAAAAAAGTAGAAATTGTTTTAAAATCCAGGAAATAAATTAAAATTGAAAGTTAAATGGAAAAGTGTGGTGATGAATTGGGAGTAGGAATCAACAAATCTTTGAACTCAACTACACTTGATCTTTTCCTTTAAACCTGAGTGACAAGATTTAAAAAAATATATCTTTATTCTTTCACTTTGAGGTCTATACATATGTTTAAACTGTCTTGTGAAAAACCTCTTTCTACTTATCACTACTCTTATTTTTTCCAGAAGTCTAAACTTGGCCTCTGCGGCTTTTTGTCTACAAATCAGGATTTTTCTGTATCTTGGTTTTGCCTTGTTTAAGTTATGTTGCAGTATTTTCTTTACATACCGGTAATAAATCTTGGTGTTAGTTTTTATCAGGATCTGTCATTTAAATGCCATATCAAAGAGGTTTCTTGAATTCCCTTAGAAATATCATGTCCAGAGGTGATGCTGAGAAACTAGTCCATCCATTTGTTACTTCAAGGCTGGTCTATTGTAATTCTTTACCATCAGGAAGTCCACAAACTGTAGTCAAAAGCCTTCCGCTGATCTAAAATGCTGCAGCCAGAGTTCTTAAGAAAATTAAAAGGAGAGATCATATCTCTCCAACCCTGGCTTCTCTTCATTGACCTTCTGTTAAATCCAGAATAGAATTTAAAATCCTCCTTCTCACATATAAAGCCTTAATTGGCCAAGCTCCATCTTATATCAGAGATCTGATTGTTCCTTATATTCCTAACAGAGCACTTCACTCTCGATCTGCAGGTTTACTAGTGGTTCCTAGAATCATAAAAGTAGAATCTTTTAGTTATCAGGCTCCTCTCCTGTGGATCCAACTACCAGTTTTAGTCAGTGAGGCAGACACCCTTTCTACTTTTAAGGGTATGCTTAAAACTCTCCTTTTTTAACAAAGCTTATAGTTAAAAACAGGGTGTGTTTAATTGCTGGGTAAGTAGAGATGTGAGTGGAGGTAGAGCGTTAACAGCACCATCCGGCGGGAGAGAATTTCAGTTCAGATAGATGTTTCTCCTTGGCTCTACCTTGGTCACGCTGTGGCTCTACCTTTCTTATACCTTATCCAAAATACATAGGTTATCCTGAGCTATTTTCTGCATTTGTGCTGCTATGGACTTAGATTGCTGGAGGACAAAGGGACTCCTTTTCATGATTCCATCTCTATTTCCCCATTCTGTGGTATTTGTTAGTTAAATCTCTAATGTTATGTTCTATCTGCTTTTTCTCACAGTAGCTTCATCTGGTCTGGTCCTGTTTGGCTGTGACACCATCCTGGAGAAAAATATCAGCTGTGCTGCTGCCATCAATACCTTTTGTTTATAGATGATGGAGCTTGGCCTGTTTTTCAGTGCAGTCCTGTTTCCCTGACTGTGGCTAACTGGATCTCTCTTTCATCCTCTGACATGGAAGCTGGCTCAGCTCTCATCTGCCTGGCTGTGTGTTTCCTGGACGGGGTCGCCTGTGGAGCTGGTTTGCAGTTGCCTTTTGTATCTCTGCTTCTGTCTCCTTGAACTCCAGTCAGCCTCAGCAGATGGCCGCTCACACTGAGCCTGGTTCTGCTGGAGGTTTCTCCCTGTTAAAAGGGAGTTTTCCTCTCCACTGTCATGTGTATATATATATATATATATATATATATATATATATATATATATATATATATATATATATATATATATATACATACACAAACATATATATACAAAGAGAGAGAGCAAGAAAATACGTTTTCATAACATTTTGAGTTTACATGGCAAAAATTGAATATAACAAAAAAGCAGAAATTTGCAGTCAGTGACATTAGATTCAAAGAGGTTATAATGAAACTTCATCTTTGAGAAGATAAAATGTTTAACATAATTTAAATGTTCATTTTTCTTAATTGTAAATGTTTAGTTTAAAATCCCTGCAAGTTCTCTGGTAGTGCCAAAAAAAGAAAAAAACAAAAAAAATAGTTCTGCCTGGATGCAATGAGGATCTGTTTTGTTGTTCGGTTATTAGGCAATGCAACATGAATAATGATTATGTAATTCTGAGAGTATCTGAGCTTTGAACATTAGGTTCGTACTAATAAACAGTTTTCCTTGCTTATTTATCATCACAGACCAGAAAATACATCCTGAGTAATAACCAGAATAATTATCTGTTATTTTTGTTTGTATCACTGAGGAGAAGCTATTATCGGGGAGCCATGGCTCTGCCTGCAGCCTGCTTTATGACTGCTTGTTTGTAACGTTGGTATTTCAGGAATGCAAGCTTATGGTTGCACTCACCCCTTAAATGGCTCTGGATGACAACGACAGTGGAGAGACAGAAATGCAAAACGCAAATGAGTGTCTCAAAGAAATGTCAGGCAGAAACTGACGTAGGTCGTTTCATTGTGGATTGAGTTTCATAACCACTTTTTACTTGACTCCAAGTTGGTGTGTTTTTCTTAGTGTAATATTACATAAATTGGTTTATTGGTTGTCTGTTTAAACTATATTATATCAGAAAAGAATGCGTGGTATTATTCAAAACCACAACTGCATTATTGCACTTAAGAGGAACTTAATTTTTTCTTAACATTTGGGTAACATACAGCAGGGCTACAGTTCTGATAATACCTGAACTTAAAAAATAAACCAAAAAGAAAAACCTGCAAAAAGATGGTAAAAGATATGAGACTGGACATGGGGGTTCAGCTTCCAGCAGGATGACTGTAAACAAACAGCCAGGATTTGAAGCATATTTATGTGGTAGGATAGCGTAAAAACAGACATCATTTCAATTTAGAATGGCTGGGAACTTAAAAGAAGAGATGAATAAGAACATGAAGAGCTGGAAAAGTTTCTTTAGTCTCATAACATTAAAAAAGCAGTAAGAGGCTTTCTCCTGAGAGATGTCGGCAAGGGTTTCCATTTCCACATAATCCCAATGAAAAGGTTAAAATTTTTTCTTGTATTTTTTCATTCATCCAAAATTTAAACAGCGAAAAAAAGAAACTGAATAAAGAATGCACTGGCTCAGATCCTGAAGCATGAACAAGGTTAGATATACTGAGACGCAACATACACAGACCA